TTGTCTAGGCTCAGGCCCCTCGGAAAATTGTTGCTAGTTACATGAGTCATTTGATAAGAACAAATGATAATTGTGGCGCTGTTGCTATGAAAATAACAACAATTAAACGAGGCAGCACCGAAATTTGTATGCTCATTAAAATGGAAAAGCGAGAGCACAAAAAGAAGCGGAGAGGAGAGCACAAAAGTAGAACTATTTCAAGTGCAAAGTGAGGCGAAACATTCTTTCGCCCACCTCATTTTCAGTGGGCGGTGGGTGGTGGGTGTGGCGACATTTTCCCCTCTCATTATCGCTCTCTTTCTGGCCTTTATTCAAGAATTATTCATACACGGGTCTATATGCAATATCAAACAAACACGCTACAACAATAAAAGCAGCTGCTTGTAGAAAACGCATAAAAATTTAAAATTTTTGTTGCCACCTTCAAGGTCGCAGAATATCGTTAAAATGCTTGTCGTCGGCTTGAAGAACCAGAAAACAAAAAGCATTTGTTTGCCATTAAGCTATACGTAGATCAGCTCTCTATATTCATATATACACAGTTGATTGCAACGCTTTCAAGAGCATAAAATTGAATACTAAATATGGGAGTGAGAATTTCATTCATTCATGTGAGGTGTCATGATTGATAAGGCATTCGGCCTGATAAACTTTTTGCCTAATTCTCTGCTTGACTTTCGGTCGAGCGTTATGAATATTAATGGTCCGGTGACGTCAGCAAGTGCATTTGACAGATGACAAAACAAAAGATCAAATGCAAATGGGGAGGGCAGCCAACTGAATGAAGATGAATGGGGTTTGGGTCTGAATGGAAAGGGCCAGAGCTAGAAAAAAAAAACATATGTTAGTGCATTCATGATTTTAGTTTCTAAATAATAAGTTTCTTCTTATTTTAGTTTATAAAATTATTAAATTAACTTTAATTGTGAAAGAAACATTTTTTGAAAAGTAATTATAATGTAATTTCAATTATTTTTCACAAAAAAAATAAATTTCTCATTATTTTTATGTTTTAAAAAAATATTATGTTTGAAAATTAGGCTACTTTTGTCTTTAGCCAAAAAAATAAATTTGGTCAGAAAAACTAACATTGAAGGTGAAAGAGCTAAAGTTACAAAAACAAAACAAAATTCACATAATCATGGATGAGGCGGCGGTTTTCTCATTACCACCGAAAAGCTGACAACTCGGGCTGTCAGAAACATTTGACATTTTCATTTGACTTAGTCAGCGGAGAGACAAAAATAGCAACAACAACCACCTGCAGCACCCAGGGCGTAACTAATTTGACACACCAAACAGAGGGGCAGGGGAATTCCCCCAAAAATGCACCGCGTTACGGTCTATCTTCCATCATTTCATATATACTTCCAAATACTATATACATCAACTGTCCTAAGGGGTCAAAAGCTCAACAACCATCATGCAATGGCGTTAAATTTTTATGCGTGCTTTGGAATTATGACAGAGGGTTTTCTTGGGTGGGAGGTTGCGTTGCAATTGTGGGTGTGTTTTTTTCTGTTTCTGTTTCATTCATTGCTTGATCACGCAATGCAGATGGAAAGGCCAGCATTTTCCGCCTCAAGATAGCAGGCCAGAATTCGCTATCTTTTATGTGGCATAATACCGGGAAGTGGATGGAAAAGAAGAGGTAAGGCTGGCACCTTCACAACCATGACATCAACTTGGCAGCGAGGCCTTATCTATATGGAGACATCGCAATTTATTAGATTGTGTGCTCTTAAGTTTATCACGTAAATTAAATATTTTTGTAATCTCATGTAATTGTTGAAGTGGAGATAGCGCCAAAGATAGCACTAAGCGAAAATGATCTCAGAGTTGGCTAATTAGTTGGAAATATATGTAAATTAAAAGTTTAAAATAAGAGCAGTATAAATTAGGTTATAAATTTAAATAAGTAATTAAATATTTTCCATTATTAACAAATACAATAAAAAACTGTAAATAATTTTATAGAACTCACACATATTTTTGAATATTATACATTTAATATTTGTAATATCAAGTCAGAAGTTACCTTACTTTTTTACGTGTGTCATTCAATTCCGAAATAAATTTGATTCCAATATCGAATAAACTTGAAGACCGAAAGCCCCAATAACCTTGAAACGATACTAGGCCCGCTGCCCGGCTTACGTCACACTTGTGTCCACAAATAGAGCTGAAAAAAGCGGATAATGTCCGGCTCCGAAACATTAACCCACTACCACCCCCTGGTGACTGAGCGTCGCACACAAGTGACAACGATGAATGTCACCCAACTTTTGACTGAATGAACACGAAATTGGAGCGCACGCTTCATTCGCCCAAACGGTGTGCCGATAAAAGCAAAAAAAAGAAACAACTACAAATCAAGTGAAATAAAATAGATATGGAAACAAATTCGGATGATTTACGGCTCCTTCGATAGGTCCAATGGCAGGTTGCTCGGCCAGTGGCCACTCATCAGATCACCTATAAAAATAGACAACCAAAATAAACGTAAAGGCGGAAAACATCGAGGAAAACTGGGGGAATCAAACGCATAATTCTGAACAAATAAACGGATATATAGAATCCGCATTCTGAGGCGAGCATGTGGGGAAGATAAAAACACCTCTGCCCAGTTGAGAAAAGTGCTAAAATTGTTTATTGGCTAATTTCAATGACCAAAAATGTGCAAATGTTTGCTCAATTAAAATGCCATTCCGCATAGTTTCGGTTTAGCAACTAAGGATGCTCAGTAGGTTTTAGTAGTCGATTTTTTCTATACCCTAGAACTATAGATTTGTAGAAATGACAAATTTTCAAGAAATTTAAAATAAAAAAACAACAAAACTAGAAATTAATATTTTAAAATTTTACAACCTCAAAAATATTCTAATAAAGGTAATAGAACAAAAATTTCTCGAAGAATGTTCGTATTTAAGAAAATTGTTTTTCAATAATGCAAAGATTTGGCTAATTTTCATAACGTTTTCAGTTAATTTACTGGGCCATAACTTTTAGTTTAATAGTAGAAATGTTTTATTGTTAGTGAGAGTGCGCTGAACTTTAAGTGATGTAATTAGAATTTTACGGATGGTCGTAAAGTGATGGCTCATGTTAAGCATACGACACGTGCGCCGCAATGGCTTATTAGCGAATTGGCGCCGAATATTGGCGCTATCAGGTTCTCACTTTGTAGTTCTGTTCTTGCTATTTTTTGCGCTCACAAAATATGATTGATCTGCGCGGTGAAGTATTTTTGACGCCACCGCCGTGGGATGCTGGCGCTGACCCAGTTTCGTTATTTACTTTCAATACTATCCATGATATATTCGCCTGACACAAAGGAGAACCAAAAATAAATTCTCTGAGCTGTGAGTAAATTGCTTATTTATATTATACCGAAAATGTGACAACGATGACGTCGTCATTGTCGTACAAAGAAAACAAAACAAAACAGACTCAAAAAAACCAAACAAAAACTGGTGCTATTAATTCGCCATATCCCCTTGGGTTTTCTGTATTGTTTGGCTTGTGGTCTCCACTTAATTGGTTTTTTAGCCTACCCAAAAGCTCTGAACCCAAATGATCCGTCATCATCGCGCATACGTATACGTAATATTGCACTCGGCAAGTGCTGCATTTTGTGGGCGTTTTTGTAAACGCTCTGTAATAATCATACAGACAGAATGGTTATTCGTATGCCATAAAGATAAATAAATTATTAAGTGCTCAAGCGCCTGACATGAGTAATAATTTGCATTGCTAATTCGCGTTTGTTAACCTGCCACGGGAAACAATTGACAGAAGCCAGAAAAATTATATACTTTTTGGTTGTTCGCGGGGGAAGAACTAAAAGTAATTTATAAATACGAATGTTTATGCCCAAATTAATGTCGAAGAGTCGCATCCGAATTCTGCGAAGCCATTAAGTCATTAGAAAAAGAGCTTCTTCTTTAGACAAGTGTGAAGTTGGCAATTTTGTTTCTAAATTTGTGCAGATTTTGGCTGTCACATTTTTAACCTCGGGTCAATGCCACACTTGTAACTCCAATTTTGGGAGCCAAAACCCTTGTCATTGTCACACGACAAATGAATAACCCAAGAATAACCCAAGACAAGGGCATCGTCGACCATGACAATTACATAATTACCAACTTGTGTGTATTCCCAATTAACTCGACACTCTCTTTTCCAACAATTTTCTTGATTGATGACACCCGTAGCAAATTCAGAATGCTGCAGTGTCCTTTGCGTTCAATATTTACACTCGTTAGGCAATAAAAGTATTGAACATCAATTGAACCAATTTCCAATTTCGAATATCCATTGTGAGGGCTTTTGAAGTCGAAGGCTGTACTCAAAACAGATTTAACCCAATAAATGTCGATTTAAAATGCATAATGTCGCCGCTAATTGTTACAACAAACCACAAAATGTATCGGGATGATGGGTTGGGATGGGAAGTGCGGGTCATCCCGGGTTCACTGATTATTAATTAAACGCCAGTTTAATTATGCGACTTGTTAGAGACGCACAGACAGTCGTTCAGTACTCATGTAATCACTCAGGGTCTTTTCCCCGGCGTTTTCCTCTGCGGTCTGCGTCTTCAATTAAAATTCGTTCCGCCGATAAAATTGATCGTCGTCGAGCGCTGGCGAGAAGTCCAAAAATTGAAAGTTTACGAGCTCGCCTTTTTTTGGCAGTAGAATGGGCCTTCGGCTCTTATGTTCTTGGCGCCCAATCGAATGTCAAGTATGAATCCATTGACGACCATTTCTCTCGATGGCCCTTTTGTCGTGACAATTGTCCGTCTGTCTCCCTCTATATCTTTTTTTATTACTTAATATCTTTCATTTCTGTTTTGGGTAAAGTATTTTGATTGTTTTTTTCTCGGTTCCGAACGAGGTTCCTCTGCAGTTCTTCGCGGTCTTTTATCGGGTGCGGTTCCTCGACTTTGGTTCTTTCGTTGGTTTTTTATTTTTGCATTTTTATTCTGCTTTCGATGTTTGTCTGGCAAAACCGAAAACAAGTAAGATTCGCCGATATTCGATATTCGTTTTGGGGTCTCCGCTTTTTGGTTTCGGTTCGCTTTTCTGACATTGAACTTGCCGCTTAATCATTGTCAAAACACACGATCACCAATCGCCGATCGCCTATGCAAACAAAAAACAAGCGATTGCATTCAAGCTTTCGATAAACAAATTTAGTTTTCTTCTGGTTTTATTTATTTTTTGGCCGCTCGTATTTGCATTATAAATTAGTCTTCAATTTACGGCGCAAACATTGACAAAAGTGACATCATAAATTGTGCACAGGAAAAGGTGTTAAATGGTTCTCTGATTTGATTTATATAAGTGGCGTAATAATTAACACTAACACAAATGATAACTTATTTTTGATTTTTTAAATAAAATTGTGTTTATATAATTTTTAACTCGTAAATTGATTGGATGGAATATTTTTTCCATTCTATACCAATTCCATTTCTATCTGTGTACCGCTCGGTGTCAATATTTTATGTGCTGAAAGATTTTTTTAAAGCAAATAACAAATAAAAGCAGCCGTAAATCCAGTAAATCCGCGAATCTGTGGGCGCAAACGATGCAGATGCGTGAAAAATTTGGAGGGGAAGGGTAATTGAGCGAAAAGCGAAACGGAAATGAAGGAGCTAAATGTTTCAAGACGGAATGATTTTGTTGGCTATTTTTAGAGGAATTAAACATAAGTCGGAAGAAATAAATTATTCCATCAGTGCAATATCAAGCGAATGTCAAGGTAAATTAATCGCTGATGAGGTCAAGTCAAAGGTTTAGATTCCACGCCCCAGTGATTGCAGTTATGCGATGTGATTTACTGACTTTGAACTCTGGGGTCAATCTTTTATCTTCTGGTCAATTTGCTGAAGAACATTTACTTATTTCATGTTTGGTTTTTCTTTTCCCCAACCCACTATTTTCAGGCCAAAGAAGACAACATCTAGCCAACGAAAAGTATTAAGAGGAGGCCAAACCCAAAAAAAAACCGAGGACCCATGCAAATTCTGGTGAAATCTCTTCGCTGGAGCTGGAGTTTCAGCTAGTACACAGATACAACTGGCAGATAGATTGCTTTGGGGAGCACATTTCCTTGGTACTTTGGTACTGGGACGACAGTGGGACGAGACTGTTTGTTTATTGCATCCATCGAGGAGATCCCGATCCCAAACCCGAAACCCCATTCCACACGATGCACGCCATAGATCGTCGGTTGCTGGTGGTGCAATAGCAATAGCAATCGCCAGATAAATTCTAATAAATAGCCAGACAACAGAGAATACTTGGCATAAAAATAAATAAGAATCGAGTGGAAGAACGCGGAACGAACAGCACACAGCGAACTCCGCACGCATTGCCACAGATTTTGGAAACTGGGAATCTCGCATTCAGTTTGAGGTGTCGAGTGCATTGGCCAGACCGATCGGGTCATAATCCCCACGGACCCCTCTGGACCACTTCTGGATTTCTGAGGCATCATAGACGTAGGTCGCGGCCAAAAAGTGTTCCAAGGCAGGAGCAGAGGCAACCGGAGCGAGGTGTACACTTTTGGCACCATGGAGGGCGGTTACGTCAACGAAGGTGAGTTGCAATTAAGTCCATGAATCCACGGTTTTAAGTGGGTGCCATGCGATATTACGAGTTTATTGCGCGAATGCCTTTCTGTAATGATATTCAATTTCGAATTTGGAATGCTGTTGATTGCTTGGAGATTTATTGAATTTTTCCTCCTTTTTTCTGTAATTTATTGGGCCTGTTTCTTCATCTTAACAGCTTAAATTGTAAATGAAATCCCATGTACTTTTCGGTTGGTTTACCTTCAAGCTATTTTGAGCCTAACAGAAATATGGAGAAAATGGTTCTTAATATTTCCATACATTTATGTTTCTTTCACGCAATTCTGGGATAATTTGTATGTTTTTTTGGGTAAACTGCTTCTTTTTGATATCTTTAAAATTATGCTGTTTATATTAATTCTCGCTTGAAGACCATTTTTAAAGTATTAAGCCCACAATATCTGATTCTGTTTATGGTAAAACAGCCTGTAAAGGTAACAACAACTGTTAAAGTGTTTCAATTTACATATAAATTTAAATTAGCCTAATAAGAAGATAATTTTTTCTCAGTTCAGATTAAGTTTGCTATTAGAATTTTAATTTTATTTCCAATAAAATTCAAAATAGAATTCTGTTCTTTGGTTTTCTGCAAATGTGCTAAATATATTCAAACCCCAAGTAATTTTAATTACTGGCAAATTGTTTATTTCATCGGCTAATTATTCATAGTCAGCGAACAGTGCATATAGGATATATACAGACGCCATATAGACACTTACATCATGACTGTTTTCGACAATAAATACGGATATTTTCTTTTATTTATTTTGTGGTTTCTATGCGATCAGCTCACCTACAAATACCTAAAAATATTTCTCGCACAATGCAAAAATTCATTCAGCAAAATGCCAACAGATGTTTGAGCGAAATATTTGACTTTGAATTTGAATTTTAGCGAATATCTCAAAGAGATCTCTCTGCACAGTGACACCGAAAATCTGCAATTTATTAGCAATGCAAAGGCGAATGCAAATGCAAATTATTCAAACAGACACTTCACTCACCATTAGTCAGAGCACTGAGGCAATACATCTAGATTTGCAATATTGTTTTTTCCTTTTTTTGTATATTTTGGCAAACACTTTGGCTAATAGAAATAGACAATTACGTTACCTGAGACTGAGTCACAAGCACATCACTAACCCAAATCACCGAATTCTTTATTGAAATACCTGCTGCAGAGGATTCTGACGCCATAATGGGTGTGGAAAGTCCAGGTAAATTAAAAGATCAACCATCTAATTACTTGTTTAGCAAACGTCTTCATAACCAGCACATAATTACGAGAGTCTGGCAAGTGGGGAAACTGGCTTAGAGCGTGGATGGGATGTGACGCCCAATTAAAGTCTGAGATATGAGACATAAGAACGAGCATAGAGCCGGTTTTCCCACAAGTGGTTCCCCCAGATCATCGTAGGGCCTCCGCCTCCCTAGATCAATAAAATCGGTCGCTGACTCTATACGTATATGTTATGACGCCACAACTGCCAATGTCGCATTCTATTTTTGCTTTGTTTTTATTTACATAAGAGGATTAAAGAATGTAAATCACAGACCAAATTGGCCATGCCCCTCATCTTAGATTCTATGAACGAGTACGGGAGTATCGGTATGCAAAAAACCTATCCATATCCATATCTTTGTAGTGAAAAACGAACCGTAAAGTAGTCAGCCTGCTGACATAAAAGGCAAAACTGTCTGTCAGTCAGGCGGATGCTGGGGGATTTCAATTAATATTCATTAGGAAGAAGGCAAAAACTGTCATAAATTATCGGTTTCGGACAGAATGTTCCTTGAGCGGCGTCTTCAAGTATGAGGCGTCAAAAGTGCAACGCGGTCACGTCTTTCATGGTTAAAAAAAATGTTTTCGGGGCAATCCTATGATGTCATTTGCGGAGGCCAGCGTTTTTTTAAGGACTGCAAACGAAATAAAACGATAATAAATTGGCAGTCGAAGCCAAAAGCCAAGCCATTCAATTTGATTCCTGGAATTCTTGGGGTTAGCATAAAATCTCATATATCTTGTGGATCCACTGATGCGGTTTCTCTTTCGTTTTATCTGCCCAAATTCGCTCTACTCCGCCTCCTCATTCCAACTTCAGCCAGATTATCTTTTTTTCGATATATTTATTTGCTCTCGAATACGGAACATAAACACACTTCACAGCTGCGCAAATGGTTTAATGAAGACATCTGAGTGCGCCATTAAAATATAATTAAACTATGTTTAGCGATCGTATTTATGACATTGGAAAAATGTTGTAAACAAAGGGAAATTATTTTGTAAATCAAACACTAAATTAGTCATGGCTGGTTCGCTTTTACAATGACCTTGTGACCTTGCGCGGGCTTTGAACTATAAATTTTATATTCACATGTCTGTAAGAACTTAAATAAAAGCCCAACGATGACGGCAGCATGACAAATGCCACTGCCCCAAAATTTATGGGCAACATTTGCGGACATTGGCTGTAAAAATACCCTATGAAGAGCGTAACAGAGTTTTGCAAACTATTCAACTATTTTAAAAATTGAAAGATAAATATTAATGAAATAAAATAAATAAATTAAATATTTCCATCTTTAGGGTTTACAAGTTTGTAATCCATACTTTAAGCTTTTCTATTGTTTATTACTAAGGGTATTTTAAAAACGACTAGTCTCACCAAGTATATCACTCATATATGTTCCCATTTGTTTGCTCTTCAACTTGACCTTTACCGCATTGCGTTGACAAGAATGAGACTATTTACATAATGAGACCAGATAAGCTATCAAAATTTGCATAAACCTCGTGAAGAAGCCGAAATAAAGGCGTTAAGCCTAACGCCTCCAACTTATGACAGATATAAACAGATATAAAGTGAGCCAAAAACACGTTTAAATTGCCGTCCGACGACTTTGCTTGGGAATTTAATTTTTTTTCCGAATCGTTTAAGGTGTTCAATTACACGACATGGAAAATGCATCTCAAGTTGCTCAATGTCGGAATTTCGAATGGTTTGTTATTCGATATGATTTACTCTTACGATCAATTGTCCATGGGTCTTTAAAGACTACTCAGTGACACAATTTCTGAACCGTCAATATAAACAAATTGCCGCTATTCGATCATTTTTCTATTTTCACCTACTGTCCGCATTTCCCTGAAATGTCAGTTTTCATTGCCGGGGGACTGGGGAAAATATTTATTCTCCACTTCCATTTGTGGTCCAAGTTCAGGTCACAATCGCTGGCCAATTGATCGGTTGCATTAAGAAGAGCACGTGATTTGCATTTAGATTGTTTTTGGCTTTTGTCCTCGCCCAACTGCAACCGAATTCTTCACAAGCCGCCGTGTTTATTTGCATTGGCGCCTTGCCGGTTTTTAAACACGGGAAAAAAACAATAAACAATATATTAATATAAAATATTTATTGATTTTAAGGAAGTAAAAATTACATATTACGAGACATTACTAAAAATATATTTTAGAATTCAATTTAAAATCGTTTCTTTAAATTAATTAAGATGAAACTTGGTACCTGACTAAATATTCTTTAAACATTTTTTCCTAATGATTTTACTTATTACTTTTTCTAATTCCCAACTCCATAAGCTTCCTTTATATAAATCTAAACTTTTCGCAGTGCATTTTGCCGGTTTTGGCCCTGAACGATTACCGACTTGACCAACAACCGGCGGCAAAACAATCATGGAAATGACGTCAGCTCGTGGCGCTCTTGTGGATACAATTGAAATCAATTTGCAGTAGCGCCAATTGCTGTTGACATATTTCATCTAAGGCGTTTCATTTCATTCCGAGCTAATGAAAACTACACATGCAATTGCTCATATGGATATGCAAATTTTATTAGTCAGCCGCTGAGTTTTTGCGCATGCGCAGCCATGTTGGCGATTTTCTATAAGCAGTGTTGCCAATTTTAAGCATGAGAAAGTCATGGAGTCATCAAACTTTGGGCTACCTTATATGGTTAAATAGTTTCAAGATAGCAAGTCAACTTTGAGCTGTCATCTTCCGAGTAAAACTTTGACCATTTTGTTGCTGACTAAGAACAGCCTCAGTCATTTTTGTAGCCGATTTTATCTTGGCTAAGACTAACTGCCTGTCAAATCTTAAGCATTTTGCAGCCACATTATTTTGCAGCTTTATCGGCAATAATAAAATTAAATAATTTATTTTAATGGTCAGCCGAGTTAAATGGGGCTAAGTGATTTTCGTTGTAGATTTCAAGCTCGCTCTTTGGCATGCAAAATTGTGGTTTTTCTTTTTAGGATTTTTCGAGAAGCGAAATTAGTCAAAAAATGGTATGCAGTATGGAGTAGAAAAGCACAAAAGACCAGGGGCAGCTCGTGACTTAGCCACCGACATTGCGGATTGTGGATTGGAAATGCATCAAAGTAAACGGCGTTGAAGGCGAAAGATGCTATCCATCATAGTCTGTAGCCAGTAGTCTCCTGCAACAGAAAAGCCGGCACGTATTTGAAGCCCCGTAGATTGGCGTTTAATAGTTAGATAAATTGTCGGGCCTCTGGCACCTGAGCTGCATATAAGACCGGGGAACTCTCGGCGAACGTTTGTCATAATGCGGAACAGATTCTTATCTGCCATTGTATATGCTCGAGTGCAGATACAAAGACAGTGGGTGAAGTTAAGTGCAGATTTATGGTTACTATCTGTAGTCTGCGATCTCAGTAAACTTTACCACCCACACAACTCATAATTGGATTACTCCAAATTCTCATAATTGCCATCCGTAGGCCAGCTCTAAATTGGCCAAATAAAAACAGAATTAAAGGAAATGTACAAAAAAATCCCCATGGCAATTAATCAATTTTTATAATGAAAATCGGACCTTGGGCTGCGGTGGCGTAGGCTGTTTCGACGATTGGACACTGACAAGCCCTCGGGCACTGAGATCATATAGAGGGTTTTTTTCTTCGAATATGTTCTGAGGTGTTGCGGGCTTCATTAAACTCAAATTAGCTGCCCCTCTCGTGGCAGCGAATAAATGACAACGATAAATCAAAATACCATCCAATGCCACAATTGCTATTTGGTGGATATGGTGGATCAGAGTGCCTGGATAAGCCCACACATGCGAGATCTTAAGAATTCTCTTTTTCCGCGAAAACCTTACTCACTGAGGTATATTAGCCATCATTTCCTTAGATCTCCTCATAATGTCTTACTATATTTGTAGAACTTTAAGCACACTCACACACATTTTTGAAAGGCAATTATAAATAAAATGTTTCGAAAATACTTTCACCAAAAAGGCGACAATGTCAGTGCCAGCTAGCTGAAAACGAGAGCAAAATAATTTGGACTACAGCCAAATGGCCAGCGATTAAATGAGCCTCATAAAAAACAAAAGCTAAAAAACAAAACAAAACGTCAAGTTCACAATGTGAGTCCATAATTCGAAATGCAAATATTTCCTGTGTGCGAAAGTAAATAATAATTTATATATAACAAATATAGATGGTCAGGCATGTGTAACGAGCTAATGATTGGTTATATACGGTGACAGTTTAATTCGCATCAAGGACAGCCGAAGCCGAGTGGGAAAAAAGAAAGAATATTTAATTATACAAAATGATGGTTTATGGGCATTACAAAATTACGTGCCAATTTATTTAATGATCTGATATGGAAACCCATGAAAGGGTGGGACCACGTTAGATATTCACTTTCGATAAGACTTCACATGTTACCTGAATGTAAATATAGGTAAACTTGTTCTATGGAATTTATACAAAGTAAACAATTGATAATAAATAAAATATTAAAATTTCCATTACTTATAACTGAAGGCCAGGAATATTTTCCATTGAACTGAAATAAACTCATTCATAAATTTTAGCATTTTTACTCCCCCTTTTTTTATATTTTCTGAATGAATTTCTGTTGACTAGCAAAAAATGCCACCAATTGTAAAACGCTTAAACGATTTATTACAAAAAATGCCAGCCAATTTAGTCGTCAAATCAGAAACTCATCAAAATTGTTGCATGCCATATAACAATCAAAACGACATAAAGAAAAAACGCAAAGTTTCTTCTTATCAATTGTGAAAAATGTTCAAAAAATTAGTCGTTTTTCGCTACATGTGTTTTTAGTTACGTGCTGTCGATAATTAAAACGGAGAATTATTTTGAGACTTTGAAGCAGGGGTAATGGAATCAGTGGAGAGACTTGAAAGGGGCTTTGTTG